TGAAATCAAGTCTAACAATTCACAAATAAATACACATTAGACTTTTCATTGTTGAACTGTCTGCTCAGTGTAGCAGGTTTTTATTACTACTGCCTGTAACAGCATTACGCAGACACAGAAGTCTGCAAGACCAGATCAAGTGGTTACTGACCCAAGTAACACAAATGCTATCTGATGAAACAAAGCCAGTTTAAAAAAACAAACAAACCTAACAAATAAAAAAAATTAATCAAAAATTTTAATTGTCAATATAAATGAAGGAAATTTGTAAAACACTGATATACATCTCTCCAAGTAAGAACAGTGAGTGGAGAAAAGACATGTTAGGAGAACAATCTTAAACATTAAGAAGATGGAATATGGATATTGCACAAGTGCAATGTGAAAAAAGGACAAAAGTATTAAACGAGGCAGAAATTAAACAAGGCAGAATGCCCAAGGAGAACAATGGTGAAACATGACAATGCCTCATCCAGCAGATTTGGTATTAAAGAGCTTGTTAGGACCCTAGGTGGAACAGGCAGGACACAGACAAACAAATACCACAGAGTCACAATGCTGAAAGGGTAGAACCATGAAGAGAAGCAGAACTGTTTGTTAGCAGCAGATCAGAGCTTCTGGTGAATAAAGTGGGGAGAAACAAYAAAGCAAGGCTTTGGATTACACTTCCATGTCTAACACCCTCACTCCAGACTGTTCCCAGCAAGTTCAGTAGGCTATGAAGCAAAGAGAAACACAATCAGGTATGGAGGAGTGGTCTCAGAGGAGAAAGTCACTCAGCTGGAAGAGGAAGGGTAGCCTGCTACACAAGAAGGGATTATAAAGAGGGTAAATCAGCAGATGTGTAAAAAGTAACTGAATTAAAASAATAATCTCACAAGAAAGAGGAGATTCTTCTGGTAAAGTAACTAATAATCTAAGAGGAATGTGGGAGGCCTAACTCTTTCAGTTTTGGCATTTTAGAGTCTTGCTTTAGGAGAAAGATCAAGAAAAGCAGACAATCATTAATTTTCGAGTAAATGTGAAAATGTGAAGAAACTTACCTATGTCCCTCATTAAATCCATATTTTGGTATGGCCAAGTAAAATGGAGTTTGACCACCCTCAAAGCCCAATCGGGGGCGATTCCCTCTTTGTCTTTCTCCTTTGTGACCTCGGCCACACTTCCTACCTCCRTATCTTCCACGGCCACGTCTTCTTTCCTTCAAAACAATCAATGATACATTTAGTGGACTACTTCAGAGAAAAGTATTTACAGAACATAAGATTTCAGAGGTAGAAACAACTGACCAAAATGCTGATTTCTGAGGAAAAATTAAGAGATAGAACTTTTCTAGGGGGAAAAATAGAAGAGGAGTTAATGTTATTTTTGCAGAGCACAGCTTTAGGCCGCCATCACAAATAGTCTGAGGACAAGTGAGCTTCCTTTGGTGGGATGGTCGAGTCTGCAACAGAACTGCACTTGAATTCTACACTATTTAGTAGCTCTAGACACTCTTGAGCACTTTGAGGAGAGTGCTGCTTGCTGCTTCCTTCTCTATTCCTGTGGTTTCTGCCCTTGAACCTCATCCCCCTGTTCACTAACATTCTCCCCAAACCAGGAGTGCTTCTCCCTGGTTTCTTMATTTCTCTACCACTTTTTAAGGAGATAGGTAACAGGCGTGGTTTTGAGAAATAGTAAAAAGAAGGCTAGCTGGCACCACATTCCTTCCCTTTGTACACCTTTCCAAACTTGCAGGTCCATCCCATAAACACTCGGTATTGAACACCTTTTACTATTCCCCTCCAGCCCCAGCAATGGCCCCGAGGTTCAGCCAGCACCACTCATCCGCCTGTTCTCTGTGGGGATAGCYACACACATGGGCAACCAGGCACGGAAACAGCAAGCACCGGGCCAACACACACAGCAGTGCCATCCRCTCCTTTGCCTTTCCACGCCTGTTCTGGCCAGGCCGCTCTCCTGGTCTGGGAGGATGATGTCCTGAGGCAAACTACACCGGGACAGAACGCGGCCGCTGCCGGGGCACAAGGCTCAGCCGGCAAGCTGCAGGCACTCACTCGCTTTTTGGAGCCGGGGCTGGGCCTCAGGTTSGCCAGGCTGACCCTGGGCAGGGAGCGCAGCAGCTCCAGGGCCCGGTTCCCGCCGCTCCCGCTCATGGCCGCTCCCTTCCCAAGGGCGCCGCCGGGAACCGCGCCGGGCACAGGCGCTTTACGGCAGCGCCGTAAACCACGCCCCCCGCTCGTTCCCAGCAGTGTCGCGCAGCCGCCTGAGGCGGTGTTTTAACGGCGCCCGAGGTCACAATTCCAAAGGTTGGGCAAAGGGATCTCGCTGCGGTTCGTTTGCCAGCACCTGCTGTTCTGCCACGCAAACCTCAGCCAAGTGTTTCAAAGCTAAGCTTTTAACACAATCAGGCTGCACCCAAAGCCGGTGGTGCGCGAACCTTGCTCAGCTGAAGGTGCTGCACCCCGTGTCAGCACGGACAGTTTAAAGACAGGTACTGGAAAGATCCATTGCGGKTCAGACTGTCGTGGTTTAACCYCAGRCATCAACCAAGTGTCACACAGACACCACTCCCCCACCACTGGGATCGGGGAGAGAATTGGAAGGGYTARAGRTAGAAAACTCAYGGGTYGAGATAAAGAYATTAATAGRGAAAGCAAAAGCCRTGTGCCCAAGCAAAGCAAAACAAGGAATTAATTCACTGTTAATTCATTAATTCACATGGGCAGGCAGGTGTTCAGCTATCTCCARGAGRGCAGGGCCCCATCATGYGTAATGGTTACTTGGGAAGATAAACCCATCACTCCAAMCATCCCTCCCCTCCTCCYCCTCCKGCACTAWATATACTGAGCATGATGCCATATAATCTGKAATRTTGGTGAGTTGGTGTCACYTGTCCTGGCTGTGTCTCTTCCCACCCTCCCATGCATCCCCAGCCTCCACCCCAGTGTGGCAGCACCAAAAGCAGAAAAGGCCTTGGCTCTATGTAAGCTCTGCTCAGYGCTAACAAAAATATCTCTACATTATGATCACTGTATTCAGCAYAAATCMAAAACACAGCCCCAAACCAGCCACTGGGAAGAAAATTACYGCAGCCAAGACCAACAGAGTGATTTTCCTAGTACTGCTGCAGTACTTGATCACATGTATTATTTCAGTCTTTTAAATTTAAATGTGTACCAACTGGAAAACCATACAGCAGTTTCCATCGCTATATTGGTCTGGGGGAAGGGTGTGCAGTGAACTGAATTGGAGAAGCTGCCATGGAGGAGATACAGAGCAGAAAGGCCAGTTTGCTTTGTGAAAGTCAGCTGATACTCCATGGTGTAATATCCTGCTTTGCATCCTCAAACTTCTGTTTGACCAATACTTTCTTCCATGTTGAATGTCTGCTTCTGGTTGGAGAAGAGATCAGGCAGCAGCTCTGCTAGTCCTGAGAGAAAATGGGGGTAAAATGGAAATCATGCTGCAGAAATCTGTGAATTTTTGAAATCTGTATAGCTTCTTATCCCCTTCAAAAAAAATTGGGAAAAATTATAGTGTAATAATGTACAAGATGCTGGTATGGACAGCCATCTTATCCAAGCCCATTTTAACATCTAAGSTAGATAAAAGTACATAATTTAAACCACGTTTTGCCCTGTAAACCTCTCACTGCTTTAAACTGAAATTACAAATACGGTAGAAAAGTATCATACTGATGATAGATATCTCAYTCCAAAGAAAAGCCAATGTACCAGTCTTTGACAGGTTAACAATTCAGATGTTTTCAGCAATTATTCCTTAAGGATTCCTGAGGGCCAGTTCTTGAACACTTGTCTGTAACCAGCAGAATGCCCCATGCCCAATCCATGCAGAGCTCACATTTCTCCAGTGYGCCTGGGGCCATGCTAGCAGCAACCAGGAACTGGAGTAAGATCATTCCAGTTATACTGACTAAAATATTAAAAGCTTTTTCTGCTTATGTGCAGACTATTGACTTCTTAGGCTGGAGGTTCAGCAGCGGCTCACCTAATGGAAGTGACATTTACATGGTAAATAGCAGAGTAGAGAGGGAAGGCAAAATTTTGTTCATGTCCCAAAAAGGTTATCCAGAGCAGGAGTCAGGYTTGGCATACTTAATAAGCACCTGACATAATGTGAAGCTCCTAATCTTTGAAGAAGTTTTTATGCATAAATTGTATTTTCTTAACACTTGAATTGGGTACAATACATGAGGCAGGAGCACATGCTAAATAAGAGACAAATCAAAACACAAAAAGTTACCTGTGAAACGTATCTTGTTTTAGCAATAACATAGATTCCCTGGAATTAATACTGTGTATCAAAGCAGCCTAACAATCATGGTAAAAGAGGATGCATGTTCAATGTTACACAGTTGACATAAAGGCTTCTGCAATAAATTTTATGCAGCCAGTGCTGGTAATGTGGATGAGCAAAAGCTTTATGAAAAATTGTCCCTGTTTGGTATGGAAAACAGCAGTGGGAAGGATGTGAAAGAAGTATAGTGTGCATTCAGCTGCTGTTGGAGCTGCCAAAAAAGCATCTATGCCAGCCAGATACCACCCGGCAAATACAATGAGCATATTGATTTTCTGGGAGTAAATATCTGACAAAGATGTATGGAATAGAAGACAAAGAACGCAGTATTCGTTTTGATAGAAATGTGTTTGCCATACGTATTCAGAGTTGGTCTAAGTATTTGGAATGGACTGGAACGATCCAGTGACTTCAACAGAGTGCCTGAATAGCCTAACACATTTTAAGATGAGTAAGAATCAGTGACTTACGAGCTGTAAGCCAAGAGATTTAATTCGGTGGTAAAGGCATCTGATCCGATGAGGACAGATAAGCCCCGTCCAACAGTACTGTTTGCTATATTTGTGCTGGTTTTCCTGCCTTGCCGTGACTTAGCCTTTTCTATTTTACCTATTTAAGAATCCCGTAATTTCCTTTTTCCCCCCGGGCCTTCTAACACAGCGCCAGCCGCCCGCGCCCCTCCCACCCGGCTCCCGCCGCCCTCCCGCGCCGCCTCCCCGACGCTGGCCCGTGTCCCGCCGGCCGCCCCGCAGCCCGGTGTATGTGCGGCAACAACATGTCGGCTCCTCTCCCCGCCATCGTCCCGGCCGCCAGGAAGGCGACGGCCGCCGTGAGTGCGGGCGGGGGTGCGGGCAGGGGAYGCCGCCGGCCCGCTTTGTTGGCGCGGCGGCCGCGGGCGGGCGAGGGGCGGGGGGCGAGGCGCGGCCGCCGGTGGAGGGGGATGGCGGGCGGCCCGGGCCGGGGGATCTCTCCCGTTCCTTCCCTGCCGGAGGCGGGCCGGGCTCGGCACCTGGAAGGTCAGCGGTGCCCGCGGGAGCGGCCSCTGATGGCGGCGGGGCCGGGGAGGGGAAGTGAGCGAAGCGGAGTTTTCTTSTGAGAAAGTGGTGCCGTGCTCCGAGCCGTGCCTGACCTTGGGTGGGCGCCTGGGGCTCCTGGGCGAGGTGCGTTYGGTTTTTTGGTGATCCTAAACCGCTACCTTTGTTGTCTTTTTTTGTTTGTTGTTGTTGTTTTATTTCCTTCAGGTCATTTTTCTTCACGGATTAGGAGATACCGGGTGTGTATTCTGATCTATTGCTACTCAGTAGCTATTATACTTTCAAATATAATTTGCACGTGAGCAGTTAAAATTTACTTAAGCTTCTTATTTTGCCCTTTACTGAATGCATCGGCCAACAACAGATCAAACTTCATGTGTGAATGAATGGTGACAACTATTTACTTAAAATTTTCCACCAAGTCCTCAAAAACTTAACTCACTTGCCTAATTTGGTCCCAATGTGATCTCTCTTTTGTTCTTGAGACAAAYTTAGTAGAAAAACAACTCTGTGGTTTTTTTGTTTTTTTTTTACCATTTACTTTCCTGAGAGTGGGTTTCTGGTTATTCCTGTGGTTGTCTAAATTTAGAGTTCTTTTTTATTCTGAACTTGTGGATTGCTGGTTTGCCAGTAGGTAGAGTTAGTCCGTGGCTTCTTCATCAATGTGTTATACTACAATCCAGACTTATTTGATTTATCTAAGCAAACACCAAAGTCACTTAATGTCTACAGATGTCTGTCTCTGAAATACTCAGACTCAAAAAAAACTCACCCAGATAAAATGTGAAATTCCCTGTTGCCTTGTTCRTGTTATTTTCATGTAGAAATGGAAAGAGTAGTAGGGAGTTTCTGGGAGGCATTCTAGCTCTGGTGTAATGTTTCTGTTTGAAGCTTGTGTGTGCCCAGAAGTAAGCCTGCRTTCATTAAAGCTATTGAATTAACAATTTAAGAGAGTGTTGAAGCCTTTTTAGTGGATGATTTTAAAGAAATTGGCACTTAGATACTGAAATTAAGTATCTAAGTAGCATGAATGTTTTGTCTGTTGTACTCCCTTGTGGGCAAAATGACATCATTTTTTTAAAGAACTTCTCTTTTTGTTATCTGACTTAAATGCTGCCCCTAGGTTGAAACTTGATATGTTTAAGATGTAATTTTTTTCCAAAGAACTAACAAAAGTTAGCTGTTAGAATTAAAACTTGCATGACCTGGGCATTTAGTAAGTTAAAAAGGAGTCAAGTCCATGCTCTTGACTGTATTCTACAAGTGGAGATTTTTGCTCTGATTTGTTGTGCTGACACGACACCTTGTTTGCATTATCCCTTTTCCTTTCTGCTGGTAGGACACAGCTGAGGCAGCAGTGCTGCYTGCATCTTGGCACCAAATGTTCAGCAAATGATTGCAGAATCTTTTGAGCTTTTGGAATTTGAGTCCCTGCAAATTGGGTTGATGTTGGTTTTGGCAAGGGGTGTAAAATAGAGACTTGCTCTTTAACCTAAGTTGTATTCCATAGACAAGGTGGCATTTCCATGTTAGTGTCAAAGCTAATGCACAGCCTCAATCTTGTAAATGCACTGAGCATACTGGAATGTCTGCACTTAACAAGACATGACACGTCTGGGAAAACATAGTGATTTAGTTGTATTTCTTAGTCCAGTCCACTGCAGATTAGATTAGATTAGATAGGCTGCCTTTGACATACTGGTGTTGGTTTTGTTTTGTTTTTTTTTTTTAAATAAAAGCTATATAGTGACCCAAAAATTTTTCTGAAACAAACTTATTAACATTTTTATAACTTCACTTGTTTCACTTCATGTGAATTTCTAAATTGATCACTTCAGTTTACCAATTGTATTTTTCTTACTCTGGAAAGTGTGTGACAGAGGTTCTTTTTCTGTCTTAGCTCCTATAATAAATGGGACTTAAAGACTGCAACATACTTGTCAAAATCTGAACAAAAGATGCAACATAGAGAATTTGTTGGCACGTGTATGCATTGTTGCTTTCCAAATTTGTCAAATTAGTCTTTATAGTTGACTTTAAAATGTCCCCAAATTCTTATGTAACTATTTTTCTCAGTCACATTTCTCCTTTAGACTCTTATTTGGCCTTCTGTGATACTGCAAATATTGTGCAAGTCATATTACCTGCAATTGTTATTAATGTATATATAAAAGTGCTRGTAGGAAGTGGTCCGAGATAGACAGTCAGTGCTTCAAATGTCTGTGATGTCAGTGTGTTRGAAAAACCTTTACCTTTAGGTAGCATACATTAACTTTTCAGGATGATATTAAAACTAAAACAAACATATTTTTGTGGCTGGTCTGCTATTGCTCTGATTAGTTCAGCTGTGTCACTGATGAGATTGTTAAATGTTTTTCCTACTAACAAACAAATTTCCAGTATCTAATTTAGTGGGTGAGTTAGGAATATTAAATGATAAGAAAAATTAGGAAATACAGGTGTTATTGAGTGTTCTGGAAAGCCAAGTGCAGGCACATGTGGTGGTTCTACATGGGTTCAGATTTGGGTCAAGGTCGGTTCCTGCCTAGATGAGGCCTGGAGTGAATCTCTAARTTATGCTCTCCAGTTTTCCGGTTTGGAGGAAGTTCATTAACTCACCTGCTGTGCAGATCTTGTGTTGTTCAGGGCATTCATACACAGTATCTGYTTGAGATTATAAAGCTTTTGCAATTTGGAATGTTGTTCAGGACTGCYTGAATCCAAGAGCATTCAAGCTGAGCTGAAGTTAATAGGGCTGATTGATTAGGTTGGCTTCATGTGGAGTTAGCTTAGATGTCAGTTAGCTACTGTCCCACGTCAAGAATTATGGGTCACAAAGCACCAAGTTGGCTGTCAAACAAGCTGCCTTAACTCTGCARGAGCAGCAAAGCAGCCTGTGAGCTRCTTGGAAGCAGGATACCTGCGTGYRTCTGTTGTGGCACACAAATGAATAAARCCAGACAGATACAGAGTGAGCTTTGCCTGGAGCCAAAGTGGTATTTCTGTAGCTGTGCCATAACTATGGCAGTCAAATTAGATCAAGTCTCCCTGACTGTGTATGTGCCACAAGCATTCAAAGGCTGARCAAACCTTCTAAGTTTAGTACTACATTCATACTGTACTGTGGTTGATGTAAACATTTTCTAGAAGTGTGTTTRTATTCAGCACATTTCTTACTTGGTCTGTGCTGATGCACTAAGAAATGAGAGCTAAGCCAAAAACATAAATGCAATTGAATATATTTTTGTTAACAGGCACGGATGGTCAGAAGCACTTGCAGGTATCAAAAGCCCCCATGTGAAATACATTTGCCCACATGCGTAAGTTTGTAACTTTCTTGTTTTAACTTTGTAGAGCTTAAGACGCTTGGTGCAGGTGATGAAGTCAGATAGTATTTGGACATCTCTGCATTTTGTTTTATATATAAAAGTCCCCTCTGAAATAATGTTGGTACTATTAAATGTTTAAATGTTTCTTGKTTTTAGGAGCTGCTATGTGATTTATTTTGGGGAAAAACTGAATTTTCATTTGTATTTTGTTTTTGTTATTACTTGAGACTGAAAACATATTTGGAAAGTTTTATGTGCAAAATTCTATTATTTTGACTCTTTTTTTTCCAGTGGATTGTTTGTTGCTTCCCCTTCCCCCCAACAAGTTTTTGTCAAAACCAGTTTTATCAAAGAATTTTTTTTTGTATTGTACTTACAATTACRCATAAGTTGTATTAGGTACATATATTTAAACTTGGGTGTGTATACAGCAGWTTGAAACTTGCTGTAGGTTACAAGGACATTGAAAGATTCTCAGGATATTCATATTTTCAGTAAATGATGCAATTTGACYTGTCTTTGTGTGCAATTTGAGAAGTGAAATACCTCTAAGCATAGTCAGGCATCAGTAAATAAGGCAGTAATGTTAACTTAGTGGCAGTAAAACTAATAAAGTATAATTTTATTTTATCACAAAATTCAGATTGTCTTTTGCTCYAGTSGTCTTGGTAGATGTGGAGCAGAAGYGATAGGAAGAGAAGGAAGTGGTGTTTTGGTGTATTACTGACCTGTGATTTATTCATTTATTTTACCACATGGCCATGCTTTGCTGAGCCATTCAAAAGGAGCTTAGCAATATCTGCTGTTTTCTTTGCTTGCCCTTTGTCTTCTTTCAGTCCTTCYCCACAGACCTTATGCTGCTCAGTTTCCATAGATTAAAACTAAAGCCAGATTTGATCCATAGCATGATCCATTGAAGCTGCCATGGTATGGCTGAGAAGATGCCACACAGCAGCACAGGGGTGGGAAGGAGTTGTGCAGKGAAGGCAGGCGCTGCCTAAGCTGATTCAGTGGATGAGAGAAGCATGTGTGTCCAGACTCGGGACATGCTGCATTTGGCTGCTTCCTGGTGATGCTGCTGTGTAAAGTGCCTTAATCCACTGAACGTGTGTGTGGAACTGTGATAAATAATTCCTACTTAGAAATAACTAAATAATATATSTATATTTAAAATATGTATATGAGATATATGCACTCTCACACACGTATTTAAAGCAGCCCATTTATGTTTTGCTTGCTCTCCATATAGAGTGCTAATTCAACCCTGAATATTAAATGTGTTTGGGCTGGCAAGTTTCAAGAGAATTWTYTTCAACAAATGCTGCAAAGCAGCTCATGTTAATTACTGCTTAGAAGTAAGACGGAGTTAGGGGATATGGAATTTCATGATGTTACTGCATCTGCATTATTGAATTTCAGTATGTATCTTATGTCAGTGGTGTTCATTCTCRTTTCTAGGCCAGTTATGCCAGTTTCTTTGAACATGAACATGTCTATGCCRTCATGGTAAGTATTTGTTCAAATACAGATGGTTTTAATCAAATTACACTTGCAGGTATGAATTCAGGTTCTTAATTTAAAATCATGAACAACCTAAGTGTCTGTTTTTAATCACATGCAAGCGTAAAAGCCTTTTTGCTTTAGTTCTGTTCTTATAAAAGGACTGTCATGAGTACTCTCTAATTATCCTTTTGTAGGGTGGTAGTGGTTCTTCCCAGGACTAATCTCTATGTCTTAGAGCAAAACCCTATTTTATTTTACAGGTATAGCCTGTAGTATGCATTGTCTGAATTCATAGTCAGTAGAAGTAGAGACTTGGAGTAGAAATATTATATTTATTAGTAGAAATATTATATTTATAGGCTTGATATATATACAAGGCCTATATGTATTTATGTATATTGTATATTTTAATATATTATTTATATTATATTAGTCTATATTATATTCATATAAGGCATATGTCTATATATTTTTATATTTCTAGATAATATTTATAGACTTTGCTGGGGGGGTGTTAGTTTTTGTTCGGTTGCTTTTGGTTATTTTTTTCCAATAATAGGTGCTTCATGCTCCTTTTTTTTTGGTGAGTAACTGACTGCTGGGCTAAGAAGTATCCAAATCATAAGTTTRTGKGRCTAGTGAGAACTCCCTCATAAGAGKAATAYTTGCTGGGTCAGTAGGATATGTAGAAACTGTTCTTTAGAASATCCATTCTGAATAGAGAACAAGAAGAATATGGAATATTTCAATGATCTTAAATCTGTCTTCAGTTTTGTTGGGTTTTGGGCTTTTTTTTTTTCTCCTAAAGTAACTTGTGTTTGTTTTTCTTCTGTTTCTTCAAAATATATTTTAATTTGTACATGCGGCAAAATTCCTGCTATTTTTRGAGCAAATATCAAAACTGATCTACTTAATCTGCAATAAATTATAGAAGATGTCAAAACTCAGAAAAGGCTTGTTGACTAGATCTAGTCTTTTAAGTCACATTCACAGATAGTCCACTGTTTCTTGTAATCTGTGGGCAGTTGGTACTAAACAATATGACAGCTAACATTTTTATCTGGAAAACATACAGATTTTATTAATTGTGTATTAAGTGGAATGGATGCTCTAATGAGTAATGGTCTTGTTGATGTTTTTGTAAGGTTTAATATCACTGGACTTTCTCCAGATTCACAGGAGGATGAAGCTGGGATCAAGCAGGCGGCGGAGAGTGGTATGCTTAGGAATATTTTTTTATGTTTTAAAAGTACTTCTTCAAAATYAATTATCAGTCTGAAACAGGTTTTCAAAGACAACATTTTTAGGGAAAAGAATATGTGCATATGGAATTATCATTGACCAGAGTTTAGCTTAGATGAGTTGTTTATTGTTTCTTTTTTTACTTCATTAGTAACTAGAGTAATTCCCCAACATAAACACTTCATATTCTGAAATATGGGAACAAGTGTAGGGGTTTTTTTAAGAGCTTTTGTGTAGCACAGCAGGTTAGAGATGTATTAGCATCCAGTTATGTTTCTTGTGCTTGGAAAAGGATGCCATTTTCCCAGCCGTGGGGCTTTTGCAAGACTTATTTGTATGTTTTTCTCTTTGGAAATACAGTAGCACTGAAATTTCTGATTCTGCYCTGGATCTTTTGATACTTTTAATGTATAGTAGCTTAGATTTTCCTTTCAATAGCTTTCTTTTGATGCCATGAAGAAGGCATCTTTCCTCTTCTGGGCTTTCTATAGAATGGAGTGGATTTAAAATACTGGCCTTCATTTATGTTGCAGTTAAAGCACTGATAGATCAAGAAGTAAAAAATGGAATTCCTTCTCATCGAATTATTCTGGGAGGCTTTTCTCAGGTAAGATATAGTTGGAAAGAGCCATTGTCTCTTTTCTAGGGTAGTAACCTAGCTTGATTTACTTGGGAAACCCAAACACTCAAATTGAAATAATTTGATGTTAGATGCTTCTACAATTTTAAGGTGTCAATTTTCCTTTGCTTTAACAAATAAGGTTCTTTAGTTTTATGCAAATAAATACTGTTCCCTGGAAAATGAACATGCATGTGTGAAAAATGTACTAAAATTAATAGTCTGTTTTAAATCTTTATGCACATAACCTACATAGTTTTGCTTGAAAATATTGGTAGTATTTTTAATTGAATTTGGTAGATATTTGGTGGTYTGAGTTTATTTGGGAATCTTTCCCTTCATATTTGTGAGGCATCTGTGGTAGGTAGAATAGTAGATTAATTGGTTCATACATCAACTCCCTAGTATTCATGCAAATAAATGAAACATTGAAGTAGTGATAATACTGTTGTGAGTAATAGTATTTTTTGACAGCTGTTAGTTACAGTAAATTTGTTGGTTTATTTCTGAMTTGACTACATGAACTTGGAGGGGAGGAGAAAAAGCTAAGCAAATGTTGTACATAAATACAGGTTTTAGTGTTGGCTCTGAAGAAGAATAGATTGCATAGAAAAAGACCTTTAAAGGAGAAATCAGAAATCTTGAAACAAACATTAAAAAAGRTCTTTACTGTCACTATTCTAATACTTATATCCCTTTATTTTAGGGAGGTGCTTTATCATTGTATACAGCTCTTACAACACATCAAAAATTAGCAGGTGTCRTAGCCCTCAGCTGTTGGCTTCCTCTACGGGCCTCTTTTCCTCAGGTATTTGTTTCTGTCCTAAGGTAATTTGCCCTTGGGGAATGATCATATCTGAAAATTGTATCTTGTACAGGAATTAGTGGCCATCATTATTACCCAGTGTTGACTGTTCTTTGAAAACTTGGCAGTTTTTAAACTAGGGTCTGGGAGTCTTAGATTTCGGTAAGTAAGAAAACTGAAGAAACACTCAGTARCTATTTCTGCTTAAAATGACACTCAGAAAATTTCAAGGAGATTAGAAATTTGTATTGATGATTTTCTATCTGTCGTTTGTTCCAACTGCAAGGCACTATCTTATTAGAGACTGGGTTTTTGAACAAAGTTTCAGTTTTTTTACTTGGCCAGAAATAAWGTTTTTCTGTTATAAAATCATTTTGCCAAAATTTTGTTTTCAAGTCTTTGAGCTTAATGGGTTGTCAGGTACAGAGCTTACTTCATAAGGAGATTGCAGACTATACGTTGTACTATTTACCCCTCAGAATTCAATTTGCTTGTCATGCCACAGGGTATAGTGCCATGGAGCTATTTTATTTCAAAGGTGTTAGCCYTATCTTCACTTAGCATCTCTTTCTTCTCTTCTCCTGTCTAATTCCCCGCCTCCCAGGGCCCTATCAGTGGTGTCAACAAGGACATTGCTGTTCTTCAGTGCCATGGGGACAGTGACCCCCTGGTTCCTTTAATGTTTGGTTCCCTCACTGTTGAGAAGCTAAAGAGTATGATAAATCCAGCCAACGTAACCTTCAAGACTTATGCTGGCATGATGCATAGTTCATCTCTTGAGGTAATTTTTTTAATACACCATGTTTTAGCTGGTATAGTTAATTGTTTTACCTCAAAACAAATATTTATAGGCTTGGTGGGGAGGGGGGTATAGTGTGTGTATGTGCTAGTTTTTGTTTGTTCAGTTGGTTTTGGTTATTTTWTTCCAATAACAACAGCTTCATGCTCCTCATTTTGGTGAGTAAATGAAAGCTGGGCTAAAAAGGTATAAAATTCAGTATTTTGGAGAGATGGAGATGGTTCTGTGGATGGATACATGGAAGAGATAGGGAGGGAGGGCTAACACTATAGAAGGGGCACCCTCAGTACCTGTGTTTACGGTTCTGGCTCAGCAGACCGCTGAGCTGATGTAATAACTTCCTGCTGCCAGAAAGGGGTGGACTCCCTCTGCTCATGACATATGTGTCATTTGTGTCATAGGTATGTCATATGTGTCAAATGTGTCGTGTGTCATATTTGCCATATGTGTCATATGTGCTCCGGGGCAGATTAGAAACTTCCTTGAACCATTTGAACTTGCTAAAAGGGCAAAAGCTGCTGCCTTCAGTGTTTGCAGCTGTAGGGAGCTGGAGYATCAGAACTCACACAAAGTGGTAGGAGCAAGAAATCAAAGAGGTGAATAACAGGTTTGCCATTTGTATGTAGCAGTAACATTGTTAATTTTGTTTGTTGCATCTTGTTGGAACTGTACCTTTGAACAACCTCTTTGTAACATTTACCAAGTAGTATTATATTTATAGTGTAATATTGCTGAGTTGTTACACAAATGTAGTAGTAATATGTTCTTTCTTTCAACAGTGATTTAAAAAAAAAAAAAAAAAAATATTAACGTGGATTAGTTTCTCAGTCTAGTTTGATGCATTGCTTTTTCTTAAGGAGGGAAACATGAAAATGAAACTGAATGGTTAGGAGGAGGAAATGCTGATTTTTCATGCTGCAGCTAATTTGTAAAATTTTAAAGTATACATGAAGTTATGGCCTTAGCTACATTGAAACCCTGTACTTGGACAACCTGGTGCTAAGATCACTTGATAATTAATACATAGCTTGCCTGTTCAACTTCAGAGACAAAAAGTAGTCTTTGCTTTTTGTCTTGTGTGTTAGCCTCCTCTGAGTGYGTGCATAGGGCCTTGAAGTTATCAGCCTTGGCTGTGTGCAGAATGATAATCAATTAACTAATTGCTTAATATTTCTMGCCCAGCTGCTCATTATAACTGAAATATTAAAGAATGATTTAGTGTAGCTGATTAGGTAGTAGTAGAGAACTTAAAACTAATATGTATTTTTATCTTTGAACAGGAGATGATGGATGTAAAACAGTTCATAGACAAATATCTACCTCCCTTAGACTGAACTGATGTGTGAGAAACCTTCTGTATAGATACACCAGCATCAACTGTGGTAGAGTGTTAAATCTTTTCATATGCCTGATAGGAGACATTATTTCTATACCRGAAGTGTTACTACTGTGTTGCAAATTTATACTTACAATGAAGACTAAATAATGCACATGTACAAGAAATTATAATCTTTTTAGTATTCATTGTCCAGTGATGGGAAGGATATGAATGAGGGAACTAGGTAACAATGACAGAATGTAACTGTTTTAAGATGTATGATTTTTTTTCTTCTTGATTGCAGAATTTCAAACTATTTCTACAAGTAATAAAAAACTAAATTTAAATGAACAACATAGATGTGACCAGTTTAGTTTTACTTGAGATGTGATTTGTTCTTAATACTCATTGAAAACATATGACAACATTTCTTTTATGTAGTGAATGCATAAAGAACACCATATAGAACACAGTGGGCATAAAGTACAGAACATGTAATGTAGTGGGCATATGATGGTAGAATAAATGCTACCAAAAATAAAGCTTTAAGGATTACATGTTAATTTTTTAACAAATAAGGAGGGTTGCTCTATARTGGCTAGAAGACAGCTAAGGTATTTCTTATATTTAAACCACCTCTATTTTAAACTGTTCATATAGGTAAATACTGTGGAAATTCTAAAGATACTCATACTGTTGTTACTTATTTTTTCTTTTAAACTTGTTGCAAATGTTGACTTGGAATAGAATTCTGAAGAATTGCATAGGAATAATTTGGTTTCATTAAAAATAATCTTGTTTTCATACCGAGTATTCACCTTATGCTTTGTTGTARCTTTCCTTTGTTTATATTTTTCACATGAACAAGTACAGAATATAGTTTTGATGTTTTTCTGTCTGCTTTGGAGTAAATAACTGAAAATAGTGCAGCTGCCTAGTTCTGTGTATTGTTGAATTCTCATCTGTAACACACACTCATTGACTTATTTGAACTATTTTTTACTAGAAACATAAGTGCAATTGGGAAATAACTTATCTAAACTTTAAATTGCTACTTTTAGGTTTCTGTTATTACATTTAAAGACTTGATTTTTTTTTTTTTCTTAATAGGAACAAAGCATTTTATTTTCAAATCTATCCTTCTACATTTCCCTTGATCAGTATAGCCTAGGAATATGAAGACCTATCCCAGAAAATAAAAAAGTAAATTTACAAGACACAGAATGTTTCTTCTTTTAGACGCTTAAAGTTGTAAAATGCACTGGTTTACAGGAGTTGATGCACATGCTTTTTTCAGTTAAGAGCCATAATTACTGCTGGAAACAGCTGCTCTGTAGCGTTCAGAGGCTGTCACCATGCTACGAATGTTTAAAATAATGCACTACACTTTTTACTGCACTATATGCTGCATAACAGTGTTCTATAATATGCTTTCAGAGTATTTCTGTTTTGCATGTATTTCTCTTGTCAGCACTGTGCTTCACACCTACATTTAAGGTACTTTTCCTCTCCCAGGGGTCCTCTTACAGTGTATGTGGATTTACATCAGGCATCTGCCAGTATGTGAGGAATTGCACCTTTATATCTCTTCTTTAACAGTGCTGCTGCCAGAGATCTGACTTGTTTACCTAGTCCAAGTTACCAGTTGTCAGTGCTTTTTCTTTTCAGTATTTTGCACTTCATTTTTGGGAAGCTGCTTCTTTTCTAATCCAGTTTCTTTGGATTATTAAATATMTCTTAATATGTAAAATTGAAAATTAGGATTTTTTTTTCCTAAATGGTAATGAAACAGTTTTAGATATTACATCTGTGTAGTTAAGAGGTCATTTTTATTAACTTTGAATTTTAATTAGTAATTTCTCTCAGTCACTCTATTCTATAGACCTGCCAATTTGTCTTTCAGTTAATTTAGTTCAGAGAAGAAACCATAATATTCTTATTGTAGTTGTGCCAAAGTTCTCCTGAGAAAACATTATGTCCTAGCTTGGAGTCATTCCCAAACTGCATTAGCTGATTTTGTAATCCTACTGAATTGCAACCTTGGTAAGCAAACTATATGTTATTCTAGTTTTTTAGATTTATCATCATTCTCCTGTTGTCTAAATAATTCCCTGAATATTGGTATGTTTCCTAAGTTCTTGCACAAGCTTTTAATTTTTCCTTACCTATTTTCATRTTCTGTTTGTGGATTTGTTGATAATGCTGTTCAGCTGTCTTAAGCACACAGTCAATTAGAAGTCATTTCACCTATTTTCCCTTCTGCAAGAATTTGTTAAAAAAAGTATTTCTGAGATGTTGAAATGAGATCTGCCCTAGCTTCATTCTGTGCTAGCTTCATAACACTTTCTTCAGTCTGGTGAACTGTTTATAGCTTGTGGTCACTTTCTAGTACTTAGACACTAATCCAAGTCAGCTTCAACTGTCACTGTCATGATATTTTCAGGTGTTTTTCTGGAAATGCTTTTTACATGTTAACTTTATTCAAATATTCAGCTGTCATAACAMGATTCTTTTTTGTACTGTTGTCTTGCTGCTTGCTTTATCTACAAAGAGCTGTGTTACCAAAGTAAATACAAGTAAATGTTTTGACTTACTTTGAATTTCTGTATGCTATGARGAATTCTCCTAATATTTTTTTTTCTTCAGGAGTATATGTTTCTRTTGTAGTTGGGGGTTCTTAAAGAGCCCAGAAGCTAGAGGAAACTTCAAGTCTGTGTCTCCTCCTGTATTACACTGTGTATGTTGAACCTCTGTCTTTTGTAACTTCCCAGCTGGTTTGAAAGCCTTKTGTATGTTCTTGTAGCTGAACTTCTTCACTACCTGAACTGTTTTGATGCTGGGATTGTTGTTACAATGCATGTATTGGAGGCTGAATAATGGCTCAGTCTGGTGGGGAATTTTCATAGTRTTCTATTAAAATGGAGAAATTGGACTGTCAGTGTTCTAAATATGAATGTCCTATCCTCATACAATTTGAAACTGTCCAGTAATGAAGTTTATTTTTTGTAATGTTAGACTTTCCACCAAAGGAGATTATGTCAGTCAAACCATGAAAGCATCGGTAAGAAAATACCTTGCCTGCAGATCAGTTTGTTTCAATGGGTATTGAACTTCCTAATGTGTTCTTGATTTCAAAATGGTACTTAAATTTGACTGCAGTTTTGTGCTGTCACAAGTCTGACTTCTTGTTGAAATRCGTTGCCCACTTTTCAATAAACATGTTGAATTTCATACTGTATGCCAAATCTTCCAGCCATTCTTGAGGTAAAACTKTACTGGGGTCTGTATTACGGTGTGGGCTGTATGATTTGGTCTCTTCCTCCTATCTTGTATAATTACAACACAGTAGATTGGTAAAAGTACTGTACACTGTAACTGGTATTAGAACTGTTAATTAAAACTTGTTCTCTCTAATGGCGTATACTGCATTTCATTGAAATMATTTAGATGCACCTTTCAGTAGAGCTCCTATTTGGGTTGATGGATATGACTGAGGGCAAACTGTTAAGATATTAATGAAGCCATATGTGCAAGACCTGTCTCTTAAATTTTATAAACAAATACTGAACGCGTGCTCCTTGTGTTAAGAAGTATAAGCTATCTACATTTAATATAAACAKCTAAGATGTAATTTTTTTTGCTAATTTTATTTATGATAAGAAATCTTAATTTTGGAAATTATTTTTATAGTAAGGAAAATGTAGCAGCTTCCAATTTTCAGTCATTGCAAAATAAATTTCAGTTGGACAAGTACTAAAGGTTTTTTCCATACTTATCTTAAGGAAGTTGAGCTTTAATGTGCTGTAAAGCAGACACTCTGGAAGCTCTTTGCAAATATATTGCATGGTAATGTAAGCATAATATAATACAGAAGAACAAAGATTTCTAGTTACTGGAATGAGTATCACTTTCCAAGTTATGTTTTGCTATTTTGTYCAAAGAGTCCTAGGTATGACTGGAAGGTGGTTTTCATAATCTAGGTTAATTTAACTTGTTTTCTTGGAATGTGCAATAATTTTGAAAGATGGAAGAAATTAAGGTATTCTCTAGCAGTTATTCTAGGATGCTGAAGAGCCAAAGTCKTCTCACTCTGTATTACAAAACCTTTCATTTTCAGGTCAGGAGTTATATTCTTTATTTAGTTTAACATTTGAGGGTGATTGATCAGTGCTATACATAGAGCAGGGCACTCTAGAGAAAACGTGGGATTACCTGGAAGGGGAGGGAATGGGGTGTACATGTGGTAAAGGCAAGCTTCCCCCATCAAGCAGCTTAAAGCAACTAAATGGCCACTTGTCTCCACAGACTGCAATGTCCAAAAGTCAGTATGGAGTGCAGTGAGGAATTTCATGAATGTATGGGAATGCATGGTAGATTCAGTGCTCTATGTGAAGATGTTGTAGAAAATCAAGAGCTCAATAACAGCTRGTAACAATGAAAATGCAATATCTCAGACTAATCTGCCAGTTTTTATTTTATGTAAAACATTTTGAGTAATGATCAGTTTCTATTTATTTTCAGCTCTGGCATCCCTGAATAAGGTATTTGTGAGGGAGGAGAAACATTGCCTAAAACTAACACAGTAAAAACTCCCCAAACAATACAATGTAATATTGCATTGAACTTCATCAAATATAGTGTGGGAACAGTGGTGTAAGTGAAGAACATGACTCAAGAAGTTTTTAGAATGTTTCTTGGTTACCTTGAAAATGTGATTCTTTGAAGATTAATAGCTGTAGAACAGATTCTCCCTTCCTGTCCCCCATCTTTTTTTCTTCCTTTTCATTGCTTGCCACTCTCATCTTACCACCATTTGCCTTTAGAATAACAGGTTTTATTAATTATCTTTGAGTTAAACAAGTGCCTTTGATGTAGCTGATTAAAGTTGATTTAAACAAAGTACTTGTATAATTTAATGGACATCCACAAAGTGAACCAGTAAATAATGTTTCTTTTAGTACCAATTACTAGTAAAGTGCTACCCACTGCCTCCTTTTTTCTCTGCAAAACTTGTAAAAGTTAAAGCTGCCAGCCAGTTTGCTGWGGTGTAGTGAACTTGTTTCAGGCATCTAAGAGGGAGGTTTAGCTTGTGTGGAGAAGATAGACTTCCCTYCTTTAAGGTTTGCTTTAAAAGAGTTATTTCTGTGTATTAACAGGTAGTGCACATGGAGTCTACATGTTCCTATTCCTGTGAATACAAGCAAACTCTTAAAAGTAATTTGTTCTTGAAGTAATTTGCTAACTGTGTTGTAGTATTTGAAATTATTGGAGGACCTCTTCAAAAGGCTTAAAATATTTTGAGTCTATATTGAAAAAATWAGTAAAAGTTGCCATTTTAGACACCTTTACTTTAACA